AAGCATAGAAATACAAAAGATCTTTTCATATTTTGCTTAATTTTCTAGAATTATGGAATATTATATAAAAAGAAAACCAATCCTCAGCCCAGAGAGGGACATAAGCCAGTAACTGGCAAGCAGTAAAACTCTCTCCTTTGTTTTAAAATCCTCGGTAAAACCCGTGTTGCGTTGTTCATCAGGGGGTGCACCGCACCCCTGAAGTCCCGTCGCAGCCGTCTGAGAGAGCAGACGCTAATAATGCCCTGACTGAGCTGGACGTCTCTGGAGCCGGAGCCTTCGCTCAGTTCCTCCGGGCCCCCTGCGGGCCCGTGTGTGGGACTCCTCAGGGCCCGGCTGAGCCCTGGCGCTGCCCGTGAGGCCCTGCTGTGCAGTACGGAGCTATCAGCTATCGGGAGGAATTTTCATTTCCCTCCTACTTGGACTTTGGGCAAGGTGACTGACTGTCCTTGCCTTTTCCCCAAACGCTTGGTAGCTCAGTTCTTTTTCAGTGACTTCCAGAAGCCCCTGGCTTCCCCTTGCTGGGCAGGGCCTGCTGCTGGGCGGCCAGGTGGGGCAGCAGAGCTCACCTTTTCCAGGGTTCCAGCCCTGGGCAGCCCCCCTAACCCCCAGGAGCCGCCGGCAGCCTCACACTGAGAGCGCTCGCTTCTGGGGCCCCTGGCTTCCTGCTTCGATTTTCAGCACGTTCTTTCCCCTAGGGGCTGGGGATCTTCCGTTACAAAGTGACGTGACAGTCACTCAAGACCCTCTCTTCTGCGGCCACTTAAAAATGTAGTTTAAAGCGGTGACCCACAAGCAGCAAGTAAGGCAGAGGGGGTGCGTGGACGTCTTGGGAGAGGTCTGGAGGCTGCCGGGGGCGCCCCTGGGTGGGCTCAGAGACAGTAGCTGGCTCCCCATTTTTTATTGGGTGTCAGAGAGTTCCACCAAGTCCAGAAGAGAATGTGAGCTGCTGCAGAAGGAGGAGGGGGAGCACAGCGGGAGGGAGGGATGCGCCTCAATTCCAGTTGTCAGAGCGTTCCTGCAGAGGGCTCCGCGGGACCTGGGCAGGCCACCTCTCCCAGCCTCTCACGAGGCGCTGACAAAGGCACACGGGTGCCGGGCCAAGGGAGTGTTCGTCCCTCTAAGAGAGAATCTGAATGGTTAGCATCCGTCAATCATGCTGTGCTTTAAAGTGTTTTCATGGAAGAAACATCTACAAACATCGCTGACCCTCTCCCGAACCCCCTTCTGTACGCGCAGGTCCGGGAAGTTTGCGGGCAGGTCCCAGAACGCAGGGACCTGCAATGTGTTAGCCTCACGACACGAGTCCATGGCGAACTTGAGACTTGTCCGTACCGTTCAACAAAACACGTCTTTTGCTAACTTCGATTTCGCCGAAACTAGTACCGCCACTTTCGAAGAGTATTTTATCGTCTAGGCTGTGCTGTCCTTCAGTTCTTTTAGGGCTGTGGTTTGCGGCTTGGAAATTCCATAACTAACGAGGGCACCGCCTCCAGTCCCCTTCCTCACGAAGAGCGATATACTTTGCGCCATGTCACAATTTCTTTTGTGGCTTCGAGGCTCTTTAAAACGTGCTCATATTATTCGACAGCCAGGTAGGCAAAAACCGATACTGCATTGCTAATTCTAATTTTCCACTTAAATAAGGAAAGACACTTTCGTTTCACATGAGGAAGAAAGTAAGACTTTTGTCGTGATTAGTACAGTAGTTAAAATTCGTATCACGTACCATCTTTCTCAATTTGCAAGTAACATTCTATGATATCTTTGTCTGACATTATTTTGCATTTTCCTAATACTTTACATAAGGAAAATCTACTTGTTCATGAGTGGTAATAACCGAATAAAAGACCTTGATTAAAATATTAATTGTGTCCTATTAATCACCAACCCCATGACCTTTTCTCAGACCCCATGCTGTCTGTCCTTTCTTCCTGGGAATGAACCATCCCCTCCCTAGGTAGTTAGTAAAACCCGATCACCCCAGTTTGCACGGAATGGCTCAGGGCAAACCATGCGCCTTGGTCACCCCAACTCCAGTCCACACTCCAGCTCGTCTCTGTCGTCTCTTCCATAACAGAATGTCTCCCCCGAGTCCTCCACTCGCCCCTTCTCCACGTCTTAACCCCGCGTTTACCCCTGAACGTCCCGCGACCTCACCCCAGCCTCGATCACTCCATTCCCACGGATTCTCAGGAGTCCCCAGTGACCATCATCGTTTTCCAAAGCCGCGTGCCGGTCCTCACCGCGGCTGGATCTTATGCTGCCGGTCGCGCCCTGCGGGAGCATCATGGCCCCCTTCCTGGCGTCTGTTCCTTTTGATTCTTATTTACGGGATCATCTCCCTCCACTTATTTTCTGAAAGGCAATTTCCCTCCAGATTCCACCCTGTGCTCTTCTTCCTTTATCGTGCTATCAACCCTCTCCCTGGCTTTGAAAGGTCTCACGAACTTGCACACGTGCATATAGGAACCGTGCCCTATAAAGAATGATGACTTCGAAATCTAGACGTGCTCCAGAGCTCT